GGACAAATGTGTATCTTTCCCGCATGAGTTCCTGGAAGTAACTAAATATCAAAGATCGTATTGCCTATTTCTAGTACAAATTTTAATCTCATAGAGGAATAGTCATACGTCAAAGCGGAAATTTTCCTTTAACGGCCCCTATGATCTACGCGCCAATACATTAAACAGTCGTAGTCAAAGCAGGAATTTGAAGTAAAATTATTTCGCATCTAGAACCGTATTGAATAGGATAAATCCCTTAAAGGAATTTGAAAATAACTACAGTTAAAGCGAAGGCTCGAGCTTAACAAAAAAGTGAAATGCCTTTCTATTCTTCACCCGCTTCCTTTAATAAAATCTGGTGTTGTCATTCGGAAACGGCGCAATCACTATACGACTCTAAGGAGTCCCAATAGAATGGGTATTCTCTTTCGGAGGCTCTATTATCCTTGCAACAGCTGAGCGCTCCTGATGCTTATCCACTCATAGCTAGAAACAAGTCCATAGTTTCGCCCCAAACGCTAGCAGATGGAGTTAATTGATTTTATAGGGCATACCCAGACAAAAAGCATCTTTAATTACTTTTGAAATTGTTTCGTGTCCCATTTTATGTGTTAATGACAACTTCCTGTCAAGCGATATGTAGTTCTACGCGCAACTCATTAAAGTTAGAGATGTATCGGGGTTTAAGACGTCGGCGTCGGTTTTACTCCTAAATAAGTAGAAATCTCCTACTTTATTTACAATTCATTTGACACGCGATTAAATTTTAAGTGTGTCTCTCGCAACGCTCATTTGTATTTACATTTTAATGAGTGCCATTACCGGAGTGCGGAAAATTAGCGACAGGAAATTGATAGTTGCTGCTTTCATCTGGAGTTAAAAATGAGATAGTAAAACTTTCCGTGCGATTTTAAATTAGAATTTCTTTAATTACACGCTCGACTTGCTAATGGAATACGGACAGTCCCCCCAAAACATTATTACCAATTAGACTCCGCATTACGATCATTTAACTAAAAGCTTGGCACGCAATGGAAAAAAATGGAGGGTAACTTGGGTAATGGATGCTTAGATTGCGTAAGTCGTACCACTAAAGACAGGATAGTTTTTAAAACGACCTTTATCTAGAAGCCGAGGCATTGTGTAACTGTACAAAATGGCAGTCGGCTTTAAACTTGTAGATACTATAATAACTGAGTTTTTAGAGCATCTTGTATATGAAAATAGCCTGTATTGCAGAAGTAACAGAGCTTTATTGACTCATTCTTAGCGAACTTCAACAACAACCGAGACCACAACAAAGTAGTGATACATCCGTTATATGAGCTTTTATGTGGATCAGTAAAATCACTAATAAAAAAAAGTTTTCGCCTTAAGGCGAACTAAATATCTGGAAAACTGTAGGAGTAACGTAGTTAAGGGAGGGACGGATGGACGGAGAAAGTGGACACAAATAGCGCCTTCCAACAAGAGTTGAAAAATGGAGTAAACAACGTTAAGTAACAGATCCGGATCCAAGTAATATAAAATGTCATTGGCTTTTTTTTTGCTAACGATACATGCCTGAGGGATCCATTCATCCAAGGATTGTGTTCAAAGGTTCGAAAATTAAGGTAATATTGAGGAGAATATTGCTATATGCGTATAAAGCTCTTTTAAGAGCAGGGACACTCAACACCGTCGATGCCTCTGAGGTGATTTTAAGCCACTACCATCACCACCATCGACAGTCAAGTAAAACAATCTCCCACGCGTGTACCTGAAACAATGGTCACAGCTGAACCACCACTACCCCCACAATGAATATATTATTTATTATTTATTTATGTATTTATTGTGCCTCTTGTTTTGGGCCCCAACAGACTTTCGCCCAATTACAGAATGACTCGCATAATGCTTCTTTAGAGGTACCTCTACAAAAGGTCTTAAGTTCTTACTACTCCGAAAGCTTCGACGGAAGTCGAAAGTTAATAACGTGGAACGGTGCAACTACACGTCTCCAGAAAAATTTTAGAAGTAACTATCTTAAGCTGATTAAAAAATTCAAAAGCTGGAAGTTGAAGCGACGAACCAAAAAGATCAGGTCAAGTGTGACTAAAATAATTAACGTAAAAGGAGAGGCAACCTATCTCCAAACTTACCAATTATAGTAACAGCTAGCGTAAAAAATCTTTAAGGATCGTGTATAAATTTAAACCAACGTCAACCAGGTTTGTTTCATAAATTAGCCGTTGTGTTATGATAATTCTGTTAATTGATATCAGTCTATGTCCTCTTTCTTAGCGGTTTTTTGTCAGATTACCTTCATTTTGAATACTTTTTTAGTTGGGTTTTCCTTTATTTCTACACTGTTTGCCTTGTTCGCTAAGGATTATGATTTTTGTTGCACATGTATGAATGTTTTTTTAGTTACGTCGTTACTATTTTTAGTTGCCATCGCTACATGTTTCCTTTCATTAATACCCCTGTTTTTTTTAGTTTAGATTTTTAGTAAATATATTATGCATACAACAAGGCAACCAGGGAAACCTTCTACGGGACAAAAACCCCGGCATAGCCCACACAAATACATACATGAAATAAACTACAATAAAATGCAAAAAGAGAAAAATACACAAATAAAACATCTCAAAGTGTACGATAAAATGAGGTAATCGAATCAAATGCAATAAAACAAATTCATGAAAACGGCGTGCCTTTACTCTAGCCTCAGTTAACATAAATTAATTTTACACGAAAAGTACATGTGAGGATGCCAATAGCAAGTACTCATGCAAAAGTCCCTTTAACGTATTGCTAAGATGCCAATAAAAATCCTGAATTCAAAGTATTCAAATATAAAGAGATAAAGTTCAAAATTCCGTCTTCAAGGTACAAGTATCATATTCAGACTTCAAGAAATGATCGCTTTGGACTAAAATACAAATGTAACCATAAACATATAATTTACCATCCTTTTTTCTAATAACTTGTGTGACTGTACCAACACCACATATGGAATTATTTGTGTTCATTTGGCTACAAAATCGTATTTGCAGTCACAGTACCAAACCCATTTTGGAAAAATGTGGTACGTTTTAGACAAATATTGGCAACACTTCGGATTCGGACATGTTCTGCACTGAAATAGGTTACATTCTGGGTATCAATCGGTCACACTATTTCTGACACAAATCACACACACTGTAATCAAGGGACATTCGGTCATAGTATGGAATATGGGCACATTTTGATACCACTACCAAAGACCATTTTTGTCTCATTTCCACTCAGACTCTTTAAAATGTATCGAGGCGACACATATGCATATCCCAAAATGTCTTATTTTTTTCTGATTGGGTATAACAATTATTGTAGTTTAAGAAGCATGTAATATGTATGTAAATGTTGAACGATGAAATAAAAAAGTTGATTTGTGAGGCTACGTACGTAAAATACGTGTGAATAAAACTTGCATTAAAAATGTAGCGGGGTTTTAAGGGGAGCACATCTTAATTCGTTCACAAGCATTCTAATCTCCTTGTAGTGATATTCATTAAATCCAAATTATAACTTAAGGTGCCTTTCTAAATAGTAGCTTTGGAAATCGCTAAAAAAGATGAAAAACCCCCAATCCCAATTTTGCTACTCCCTAGGCTTTATCGAATTTCTATGTGATTTGTAAAATTGAATTTGGGTCAGAATATTAATCTAGAGATAAAGCAGGAAGATCCAAAGAACGTATCCTTTAAATTACAACTTTTCAATTGGAAACATTCCCTTGAAGTTAGACACATTACGGTGCTTATTTCACACGACACCGTAATTTTTTTATATTTTCGTAATGGATTCGTTGTAATCCCGATTTGATAAACGAGTACGTCAAAGAACACTTCGTGCATTTGTGATGCGTAACCCAATTGCAAGGTTTTCTATTTGAAAATCTCGATTTTTGAGCCTACTGAAACAAAATAAAAACAATCTTGTTTAATAACAGCGGTGAATAACCTAAAGCTCGCTAGCTGTATACGCTCAGCAACTCAAACAACAACTAATTTTATGTACTTAGCTTAAACGTGAGCGCTCTAGAGCTTTCTACGTCAGACAAAGCCGCAACGTGCAGATTTCGAAATCCTACTACGTACTTACTCGCTATAGATTACAATTGAAACGAAAAATTTAAATCATGTTAAGAATATGACCTTTTGTAATACACGGTGCATACAAATAAGATGAATAAGTCAAAGGTTGAAGGAGAATAATAACGTTAGAGGTAAAACTTTAGAGCTGTTCACTCGGGTTTGGGTTTTATCTGTATTTTTATTTCTCGAAAAAGCAGTAGCCATGTTGTCTCTTGGGAGAGAAACTGAGCTCCAGGGCTAGTATCCACTTCCGCTCGTAAACAAGAGACATGACGCGGGTCAGCCAGTTTATAGTGGAGTAAGTACTCGATCTCGATATTCAACCATGACCTACAATTACAATTTCCAATCAAATTACGAGGCAAGAACAAGATTGCTCCTTTCTTGCGTGCGCTCCAATTCGGATACAAATTCCCCCTTTACGTACGCCGAAGAATGGTGCTAAACGAGAAAAAGTTTTAAGCATGCATTTGTAATCTGTATTCCTTTGATTCCACCCGTGAGAATAAGGAAGGTTTCGATGAATGTTTCAGTGTCGACTACGGAATGCTTTGTGTTTCATTTCTTATTAAAACTGAAACTCCTACATTGATGCGTGGGCCGCTTTTTGGCGTAGCATTATTTTCTAACGTTTGCTTTGTCTTCTGTTGCACAAAGGACTCTCTAATCTAATAGGTTTATAAAAGAAGTGCGCTCTGACTAAATTTAAATTGAACAACAGCCAAACGTTGTAGTTGAAAAATATAAAATGTAGGAAAAGTTTTTATCGTTAAACTTAGGCTGACATTTAATATTCTCAAACTACGATCTTCAACTAATAAAAATTCACATGAGCAACAAAACTAATAAGTTTTATCGTTTCATTTAAATTTTATTCGTGTTTTCCTTTTGTTGCAGATAAGTGACCCGCTTCTCATGTAAGTATTTTTATTGTTGATTATTTGGAACACGCTCGTATATGGTCGACAGATAGTGAATTATTGGCAATCGTTGCGATTATTGGTGTGTACATAGTAGAAATAAATAAATATTGCACTAGAGAGTGTGCATAATTTTTGACCAAGAGAGATTGCAGTTTTGTAATGCTATTGATATCCATTTAATCAAAATGAAATGAGAAATGAATTTAGCTAATATAAATCAACTATACCTTTCTTCAGCAGTTTGCGTAAGAAAACTGGCTACATTCGTTTCCAGAACTTTTTCATCGAACTTCAAATATCAATCTTTTCTACTGGGGCCAATAATAATTTTCCAGAAAACTACTGGGTACAAACTGGACACTAGTGGTCGCTTTGACTTATCAACTGCTCCTTCTAAGCTCGGAGATCCCAAACGTCAAAAATGAAATTATTTGGGTTCAAAGATCGCTATACGAAACTCATGTTTTCCGCTCGATCACCAAACCAACAATCCTTCGTGCCAAAAATAATCCCTTCTCTCAATATTAAGTCATTTTTAACGCCTATTTAAAGGTGGAATAGTAATGACAGAGATACTTTGTCAATTTTTATTGGTTCGCGAAGTTTCAGAGCCGTCTTCAGAAAATCTGCAGGACAGATTTTACTTATCTCTTCCCAAGGCATGCTTAATTCTGAGGGTAGGATATGTAGCCTAATATGACCTCTTTTTAGCGTGTAAAATGACACCAACTCACGACAATGGGGCGCCAAATACAATTTTAACAAAGACGTTATTACTAGACATGACGAAGACGACAAATGAAGCTCGCCGGATTACAATCGACAAAATAAAAAACTCAAACTTGACATAAGTAGTGTTTGTTTGGTTTAATGTTCCTTAAACTTTGACTTCTTTTAAACTTGGACATTGTTCTTCCACATATTTCAATTGAAAAATCGAAAAAAATGTGTCGCAAAATAATCGCTTTCGTTACATTATTTAAAGACAAATATAAAGTCTGGCTGTAGAATATCGAGAAATAGTGTAGGACATTTCATGTTGTTAAATGGGAGGTCAGGTACAAAAAGTTGATATTATCTAAGTTACAAGCAGTGCACTTCAAAGAATAAAATTTTCTGATAGATACTTACGTCATGGAATTGGCAAATTTCAATTCGAATTCGTCATCCCAAAAACACACACAGAATGGAATAAATCAAACCTACCTAGAAAACTGAAAAACAAACCAGTGGCTACTGCACAAAAGTTGACGCACTTTCGTAAATAGCGAACTGTCAAACTTAAAAGCTCAAATTTATTTTGAATGGCCCACTCTGCATTGAGATTATATTTATTAAATCGAGGCGAACCAATTTCATATTAGACGCGGTTTAGAATCGATAACAGTATTCCATTAAACACGCAATGATGTTTCAAATTTTACTTTGGAATTATTTATATACAGAGTGTGCGTGAGAAGTTTACGAAAATAAACGAACAATTTCGTAAAATGGTGGTAATTTGTTACTGAAGTTCTTAGTCCAGTGTCTATTCTTGCGTAGCTTACGCGATTTCATGGAAATGAAGACACTTTAAAGTTTGAGGGAGTAGGGCTCGTTATCTTTGAAAATGTCGAAGCCAATTACGATTGAAAATGAAATAAGTATTTACTATTCACTCGTTGTCAGTTGCAATTACGTTTCTCATATTGAAGCTATGAACAAAAGAAATTGGAATCGGTAAGATAATTGGCGTACAATCGCATTGAAGCAATGGATTTCTTTAAGCGTATATACCAATTTACTTCATAGATAAAAACGATTCAATCACTTGTATCATTCTTTAAATTGAAACACAATGCAGCATTTAGTTGCTAGTTGCAGCAATCGGTTAAATCAAATTGAAAACGAGAGAATGTAATGGAATTTTCAGTTTTCCCCTCGCCACAATGAATAATAGATATATTTTACAGAGTAGGTACAGAAATCCTTTGTAAGTAGTTTGTTTTTCAAAAGTTTATATTTTAAATGCCTGACACACATTTCATGTCAAGTGTTCACCAAACACCAAAAAACCACAATCAAATATTAAGAAAATGAATGCAGCATCAGAGCAGAGAAACAAGCGCCAAAGCGAAAACGTACAATTCGTAGCCGATTCAATTATTTTATATACTATTTACCTACCCTTGATCAAACAAAAATGTCGCTTAACGTTCTTTTTAACAAGCACATGGCCCACTTTAAATATTTATTTCAAGAACTGCAAAAACAATAATTATATCTCCACAGGGCGAAAATGAACACTGAATATCTTCAGAACAAAATTTTTTTAAAGAAGCTTTTTATGGTATCCAAACTCTATCAATGTACTTGAAATTTGAGGTCAGTGGCGTATTTCTGCATGGTCAAATCAAATAGCAATCACTGTTTTTTATTACATTTTCTTATAAAGTACAGTTTTTTGGATATATAGCACCATACAAAAACTTTTAACTTACATAATCAAATTTCAAATAACAACTCAAACTATGGAAAATAGTTTGTTCATTAATTTTTCTAGTTTGATCATTTTTTAATTTTGTCATACAAAACAGTTAATTCGTTAATAATAAATTACTCCTTAGTTACGGGTGTTTGAATGAATGGTTAGCAACCATTATACGTTACCAACCATTAATCGTTAGCAACAACTTATACATAACAAACATTTTATTAAAGGGAAATGACATTGATAACAATTAAAACTTGTAACCTATTTTTTTTAGAATAGATTCAATAGATACAATAGATTCTGTATTTATTTATGTATTTATTTAGTCCCCCTTGTTCTGGGCCTTCAACAGGCTTTAGGTCAATTACAGAGTGACCCGTAGAATGCTACAGGTGCCTCTGTAGAAGGTCTTAAGCTGTTCTGTTACTACTCCGGCATTTACCTTACGAATTAGGAAAATTGCAGGAAAACCTAATTCGGAGTAGTTGGCAGAATGCCCGAAATTGATCTATGGAAATTCTCATCTCTGTCACAGATGAAAAATTCTTACGTCAGCCCAGGTTCGAACACCGGACCTCCGAGTATGTAGCCCAACGCTCTACCACTGAGCCACATAGTCGGTAAAGTCTTAAACACTACACCATTTCCTGGAACTCCAGGAAAATAATCTGTAATCTCTTTCTCCACAAATGTTTCTAGGGTCTCTTCTCATGTGATTGACTACGTGTAAATGTTGCAGGAATGATAGAGGTGGCATCAGACATAGTAGTTGCCGAAAGTGACTCTAGTTTTCATGGTAATACTTTCTTCAATATAACTTTCAGCAACAGTTGATGACTTTTTGTTCTTGAACTGGATTTTTTTATTCCAAACATGTTTTCTTAATAACATTTGTGCGTATCTTGTCCCATTGGGCATTATTGGTATGTAAAAAACGTTTTTTGATAATTTAAAAGACACCTTTGATTTTTCGTGATTATGTCAAAAATTAGTTTCCAATGAAGCAGGGCTGATCCCCAGAAGCTCAAAATTCAATTCGAAAATTATTTGTCTTACAAGGGACGACCAAACAATCGGAGGACCCACTGTATATATTTCAAATGAAACTTACCACTAGTAGTCACTGACTCTTGGACATAGAATTAGTTGATTATTTCAAAATTAGGCAGCTACTAGAAACTTGGCGGCTAATCATGAATTACCCAAAATGTGGGGATTTTAAAATTTTAACAATTAAGTAAATAGTGAAATGAAAAAAAATTAAAGATTTCTAAATTTGTCATATTGGAATGTGTCTGATTTCAAACAGTATATAAAAACAAGCATATCAAATACAGTGAACTTTAAAATGAGATCTCTACTTGAAAAATATGGGACAATCTTCAACGATGCTTCACTGAAAAAAATTTATGGTAAAATACACCAGAAAAAAGTTAATATAACCCTAAAATATTGATAAAAAAGGGATATCCAAACGTATAGTAAAAATTACCTATACGTTGTTAGTTAAAGGCATATACAGTGTGTTTAACTTAATATGGTAAAATTTACAATACACCATATATTTAAAGATGCGTTATTATTTAGTTGATAGCATTATAAAGATCTGGTAAATAATGCAAATTAGGGGTGAAGATAATCATAACTGTCTGGTTAAACTTAACTAGACAATAATAGAATGTACTATTCGGTTTGGTATAAACGTAACTTATCTTAAGTAAAACCAACCAGTGTCTTGTGGATGTTGCTTGATACTAATCAAGTAGTTAGGCAAGCCATACTATTATGGTTAGGTTAAGTTTGCTATCTGTATAGCAGTTTTAGCGTTCTTGATTTGCTTGAATGCCTAATTAAATAGTTAAATTCAATTTACAAATTAGTAAAATCTACCATAGTATACTGTATATTTTTACCTCCTTTCATGTTCTTTTAACCTACTACTGTAGCTACTGATACTGCAAGAAGATAGGTCAAAATCACTAATTCATAGACTTGAAACATAAAACGGTTTTATTGCAAAAAATATAAAAAAGGCTATAAGCATCAATACCTAAATAATATTCACATATTTATAAGACAGCAATAGGTACAACAGTTTCTTCCCGAAATCGCTATCAAACCTTCTGCCTCCTGTCCCGCAAATTGAAATTTTATATTTAAAAAAGACGATTTCGGGAAACCTGTCAGTAATACAAAACTCGTCAGTAAAACAACACTACATGTGTGAGTAGAAAGGTGTAAATAACTATGTATTTCATTAAGAGTTAGACCTACGGCAGTGTTGAACGGCTGCAACGTAAATCCAAAATTCTTGCATTTCTCCCATCGTCTATTGACAGTTTCCTTAACCAAGTTTTCTGTAGCAACAGATGTAGTAATACATCCTTCCTTGGTCGCCAGTTTAGTTGGTCTCCATGTTCCTTTGTTCTTTTCTTGCCGTTGTTGGAAGTTAATACGCCGGCAGGCAAAGAAAGGTGCCAAAGTTTGAATCATCTCCAGAACCTGTAATATATTAATTCTG